CGGGCGCTCTGGGGTAGCTGGGCCCCAGAGTGAGAAGTTTGTTACTAGCGGCTTATGCGCTCAGGCTGGCCACCGGCGCTGCGGGACTACCGGGCCCCGCAGTGGTAAGTTGATTACCGAGGCGTTGGAAGGAGTTGAGACGGGCGTCCTGCGCCTGAGAGGCGGTGGAGACAAGGAGAATGGGGTGGGCTTAACACCAACGCCCCCCAAGGTGAACACTGCACAAAGGGGAAGGGGTAAGCGTAAAGCTTCCCCAGTTCCCTCTTCGGAGTCCGAGCCTGTGTGCGAGGTTGAGTTGGAGGAATACGATGACCTCACGACGGAGGAAATCAGGGACTTGATCACCCAGCGAGTGGAATATATTGGTAAAATGATCAAAAGGAGATTCCCGAGCGACAAGTGCCCCAAGAGTACCCTACAGGCGGCCGACGAAGTGCTGGTGTTCTCGGAGGTGGCCCTGCGGAGGACGGAGGCGGCGAGAAGGTTAACCAAGCTTGAGGAGGAAAACCGCCGACTCCAACAGGAGAATGAGAGCATGAGGGCAGAGGTAGCGGCCATGCAAAAGGAGATGGGGTCGCTCAGAAGATTGGCGGAGGGGAGGGTGAGCCCTGCACCACCTCCAACCACGCAGCTGATGTCGACGGAGGCCCTCGAGGACCTCGAGGAGCAATCGGTTGGCTTCCATGGAAGAGAGACTTCCGCCGCCGAAGAAATTCAGGCCACCGTTGGCGGCGGACCGGCATGGAGCGGAGGTAAAGGAAAGGGAGATGACCACAGCAGAAGGGTCCGGGACTGCTGTGGTCAAGAGGAAGAAAAAAAGGGTGCGGCCCCGGGAGTGGCCCCGGTCCCGGAGGTGGTAAAAACGCAGGCGCCGAAAGCGATCAGAATGCAGGCGCCGGCGCAAAAGGCGGAGCAACCAGAGGGCGGAAAGCTGAGGCTGAAGGTGCCAAGCACTGCGGCGGTGGCCATCAGCCTGGCGCCGGACGCAAGGGAGAAGGGGATCACGTACGCCAGAGTGATCCAGATGGCCAGGGGAAAGATCCAGCTGCAGGAGCTTGGAATAAGTGGCGGGCTCACGATCCGGGATAGCCAGACCGGGACCAAGCTCTTGGTTGTCTCAGGACCGGACAGTCCCACTAAGGCGGATGCCCTAGCGAGACGCCTGGGTGAGGTGATGGCCGATCTGATTGACGTCAGCAGGCCGGATAAGGTAGCCGACCTACGGATTGTGGGGCTCGACGAGTCGATTACGACGGACGAGGTGGTGCAGGCGGTGGCAGCCAAAGGGGGTTGCGAGGCTGACAGGGTGGTGGTAGGGGAGATACTCCCTGGACCAGGAGGCAGGAAGGTCGCCAACGTGAGGTGCCCGGTCGGTGCTGCCAAAAAGGTGGCTGTAGGCGAGATGCTAAAGGTGGGATGGAGCCTCGCTCGGGTGAGAGTCCTGGGCCCCCCACCTTCGCATTGTTACAGGTGCATGGGTTGGGGTCATGCTGCCTCTAACTGCCCATCCAAAGTGGACCGCAGCAACCTGTGCTTCAGGTGTGGAAACACAGGGCGGCGACGCGCTCCGCCCCGTCCCTATGCGCAGTGTGCGTGGACAGTGGCCGGCCTGCTGACCACGTCATGGGAAGCAGGAGGTGTGACCCTCCGGTTACCCAGGGCAATCCCCCGGAGAAAGTGGTCGCTGGAACGTCGGCGCCCGGACGGGTGCCTTCAGAGGGGGGTATGTCCGAGTAGCCTAAGCCGCTCGGACTCCCCAACTCGGTCGCCCGCGTCTCTCCCCTCTTCTCCTAGAAGAAGGGGTGAGGAGAAGCGGGCGACCAGGAGTGGAGAGAAGGATGGGGAGAATTTCGCTCCCTCTCCCACTCCCCCAGGAACGGCGGCCCCTCTTTTGTAGTTCTGTCCTGCAAAGAGGGGTGGTGGAGAGCTACACGGGTACGCCCATATAGCCATCCGCATAGGACCGGGGGTGGTACGGTGGGCACTAGGCCGCGTACCCAGCCCCCACGCGCGGGCCATCCTGCGCACGTCTGCGGGGTCCCCGTAATACCTCGGGAGACCCCTGCCGTGGAGCTCCGGCGAGGCCGGGAAGCTGCTGGGTGCGGAGTCGCGGAAGAATCCCTAAACGGGGATCCCGAGGCTTCGCATAAAGCAGTGTAGAAGGTATTCGCAGGACTTTTTTAGCGGATATTATGCCGTAAAGCGCCCGTAAGAATTGCAGGGTCCTCGGTGGTCAGCCCCTGGGGGGCCCGTAAGACTTGCGGAAACCAGGTGTGAGGTCCGTTCGGCGGTGTGCCTCTTAAAGGCGCCGTCGTCTGTAAAAAGATTTTTTACCTGCGTTATAAAAAAAAAAAGGCCGGACACAGCCAAAGAAACGTGAGTGCTCAACTTAATTTAAGTCGATCTGCGGTCCGAAATGTTTATCGGAGGTACCTAGAGACTGGCGGCTTTGTCCGTCGCCAAGGAAGGCCACGATCTCGGGTCACAACTGAAAGGCAGGATCGATTCATCTTGACGACCAGCTTGAGAAATCGTCACCTTACCTCCATTGAGATACAAAAACAAATTCTTTGGTTTTTTTCCAAAAATATGGAACCATTCCTAATTATTCGCCAAGAAGAGAAATTAAGGGATGGCTGTGTTTGGAGAATATTGAGCAAAGATAACAAAGCAACCCCGTTTTAAATCTCGCTGATACGCCTTTGATGTAGACGTTATTGTAATTTCATTTTCTTTAGATCGGTTCGGTTGTAAAATCCTTAATTTAATTAAACTAGAAATTTAAAGATTACACATTTATCGACTGTTCACGTGCGGTAAACAGTTTCCGGGGTCAAGTCAGCTAATATTATTATAATTGACGTATTTTTATTTAAAACCTAACTTGGAATTTGTAGTTTTCGAAATGTAAAATAAATAAGTCATTAAATAGCATATAGGATCGCTGATCTTATGTAGACATTTATATAATTTCATTTTATTCAATCTTTTTAACTTACTATTGCAAAATTGCTTAAATTACCCAAATAATTCAATGATTACCTATTATAGGGATATACATACATTGACATTAGTATATTTTTTCAACAGCAAATTGACTTTTCACTTCACTATTATAATATGTCAAAACGGCCATCATTAACATCATTTCAAAATATAGCTACTGTTTTTCGGTATGACACCGAAACTAACGATTTAAATCTTTGGATAAAAATAGATATCTGACCTCGGAATAGTGTACCGAATGCCATTTAAAAAAAAACGAAAATTAAAATTTTATCTGCGACTAAGGACCATGTTTATGGTCTGTTGGGATGAAATATCTAATTAAATATAATGTTTATACTTGCTATCCATGCTTGCTATGTAAAATAACTGTATTGTATCAATTTTGAATTAAGGAAGTAATGTTCCCATGGTAATCTAATTCAAGAAAGAGAGTAGTTAACTCAATACCCATAAACATGGTACCTAAGCGATACAAGATTTTTACCCGACTGCGCATGGGTATTGTGTTTACCAGTCTTTATATGTATGTATTTTACTTTGTGGCACATTAGGCTAAACGCGTGGACCGATTTTAATGATTCATAGGTCAATCAATTCGTCTTAATCATAGTATTGCCTCTTAAGAACATGAAAGTTTAAATCTAAAGAAAATTTTACTAGAAAAAAATCCACGCGGACCAGGCAGCGGACGGGACCGCTGCCTGGTCCCCGTGGATTTTTTTTTCTAGTAAACTTTTCTTTAGATTTAAACATCTAGCAGTTAAATGCTTAAAAATAAATAAAATCATAACATGAAAGTTATCGAAATTCAATATAGGGACAAATGGAGCGATAATGTAAGAAAAAAAAAGTTGATGAAATGTGTTGCCCTCTAATTGAGCCGACCCGTAGCCGAGCCGTATGTGGGACTCCTCCCTGCTCAATTCAGCCAGCCCTTAGGCCGGGTGAAATGAGCAGGGCCCTACCTAACGCCCTGAACAGGGCCACTAAAAACGCGCGGCAACCGTTGCCGACTGTCCGCGCACCCGCAAGGTGATTGTCCGCGACCCACCCCGATGAAGGTGCCCCCCTCCCCCCCCAGGGCAGACACGCGGCTCTCACAGGAGTAGGAGGGACAGCGTAGTTCTCTCCTTCCCTGTCCCGCCCCCCTTGGCCCTAAGAAGGGCCTTTTGTGCATCTACCGCCAATCGCAATGATCAGACTCACTGTGGGGTGATGCTCCTACCCTGGTCCTGAAAAGGTTGAACGGTGTTCAGCACTCGAAGTGCTGACCATCCCAGGGTCCCTACGTGACCCAGTCCCCCCCTTGCCCCTGTGCGGGCTATCCTCTTTGTCAGGGTGGCAGAAGATGCCTGCCTCTCCTCCCCCTCGCCCTTCTGCTGCGAGATGACATCCTCGCAGAAGGAGTGAGCCGACCCCCTCAGGTTCGTGTGGTCTAGAGGTGAAGCAGGAGGAGAGGAGACTCCCTCCGTGTGAGGAGATGCCAATTCTAGACTTGAGGTCCGTTTAGGATCTCGCCGTCCCCAAACCCTGTAAAGGTCATCTGCGACCAACACCATACACACTCAAAAAGAAAAAACAGACGTTGCTTTCACTGCTAGGAATCGCGCCAAAATCTTGTTTGTGCATTGCATATTATTTTAATGATGAATGTAAGTTGTTTTTTTATTTATGTAATATATTTTAGGAAAGTCTGTATAAGTTTTGTCTAGCGGGAGGAAATAATAGCTTTTCAATATTGACCTTCAATTTCATTTTATCTGACTAATGGTCATTGTTATTGTTATTTTTTATTTTTTTCTGTATAGGTATACTTATAAGAAGCAATCGTTACTGACTGAGCTATCAACGCACAGCTCAAAACACTAAACGGATTGCGTTGAAATGGACACACATATATTATGATGAAGGTGTGCGCTAAACAAAGATTTTCCAAAACTCATCCCTTCAATGGATAAAACGGAGGTTCAAAATTTGCGGAAATTTGCGGCATAAACGGCTGTATCTTTTGATTGCTTTGGCTTAGAAGTTGAATTTTTTCACAGCTCCAAGGGAGCATGACATGAGTATTAGATATGAATTTCAGTTTGATATCTCCACGCGTTCCTGAGAAAAACGTTCTTGACAGACGGACGGACAACAAAGTGATCCTATAATGGTTCCGTTTTTTCCTTTTGAGGTACGGAACCCTAAAAAGTGGCAGTTATAGGTACAAAGATATAAAAGAATAACAATATTTGTGATGGAAATTCAAGATGCGCCACAATTATTATATTAATATAATATCAATTCACACTACGTTTTAATATTCACTCCATTGGACATTGTATGGAGGTTGAAGTTCTGCAGAAAATTATTAAGAACCAAAAAGGAGCTTCTGAATACTGATTTTTGTTACAAATTTCTGAAAATGCCGCTAAAGTCGGAGTTGTTAAAAAATTAGACCCCAAGGCTGCAATAATACTGATGCCATTATTTGGGAAAATAACTTTAGTGTTTATGTATATTTCTATTTATTTCAACACAAGGCACAGTTTAGTATAATCATATAATCATTAGTGACCCATAAATAATCATAAAATAGTGCTACACTTATTGAAATTAAGATAATAATTTGGGGCCTGCAACTACAAATTCATAAAATTTTCTTTAAATCTTTAATAAGTAAAAGTACTATGGTGATAAAATAAGAAATTAATATTTGCAAATAAATATTTGTTGAACATTTAGTGTGGATTATGGACCGTTTTGAATAGTCCAGTATGTATGTATATGTGAAAAGTTTTTTTTTCCAAACTAGTACTTATGAATGACTTGGTATGGATGGACGGAAAAGGTAAGATTTTCAACTCCTAAATTGGAATAGTAATGAAGGAACAGTAATGTGTTGCCTGGTCCGCGTGGAATTATTTCTAGTAAAATCTGTCAAAGTAAAATCAACATGTTATGTTGATTTTACTCGTGCATTAATAATCACTTTGCGCTCGATGCAACTATCTACTATTAACTGTTATCCCTTAAATGAATACTTTCTGAGATACACTCTGGAAGATAGTTTGAACTCTTCTAAAAAAAGTGTTTAATTACCATAAATACATAAAAACTGTAAACGAAAACGTTGAAAAAATAAAATTGTTGTCAGTTTGTTACATGTATACTCGGGGTGTAAGATTATGTTAAGAGGTCTATGGTATTAAAATTAGGAATGTGGGTGATGTTTCTTCTGAAGTCTGCAATAGTGCAGCAGAAGCTGTAACCGAGATCGATCCGGTCGGGCTGCCAGTTGAGCCAGCTGAAGGCGTTGTTGTTCCGACAGCGGTCCGTACAGAATTGAAGAGTGCGCACTTCAGCAGCGGTGTAGTACGGATTGTTAATACCCACGAAAGCAGTTCCGAGACGACGACTCGCATCATACACCACCTAGGAAAAGTTAATCGTATGATATTTCCGATCTTTTTTGTTCATCTGAGAATGAAAGAAAAACACACAATGCTGTTTTCCGTGCAGAGAGTAAAAGCCTGTAATAGTACAAGATTAAAAAAAAAACAAAATTCAATATCGTTTATACTAGTCCTATAGTTATATGTATACTTTATATCAGTACTTTTCAGTATTTTTTAACGTGCCACCTGATACCAAAAATTGGCCCAAAGCACAAGTTAGCGAGTATGTACACGTTCATTGTACACGTTAATACTACTCGATTATCCATATTTTGTCCATGAGAAAATAAGTAAGGTCTGGCAGTCTTGGGATCTTACTCTATAAACGGAAAGGGCAACTTAGAAAGAGAAAGCTGTCCAATTTGATAGACTAGAACCAGAGCTAGAACCTGACACCGTTCTTTTTTGACAAAGTCAGGTTCAAACAATGTCGTGAATTTGGCATTGTCTAATTGCTTATGGATCATACTTGATGTATCATGCTGCCTTGGAACGCCTACAAATCCACAATGTATCAATGGCGTAAATTTAAAAAAAATATGCCTGATTTCAAAAGAGAAAACGCTCATTTATATCAAAAGTATATCGGCAAATTAAGTCAACTTTCGCACTTACAAACCTTATAATAAAATTGAGGTACAGGAACCTGGCTAGTATTACCAGATTGATGAAGAAAGATATCACGGAGTTGTCCTTGTGCGTCGCGGAGTTGAGTGACTCCGAAAGTACCGGTATAAATGATAGTTGTGTAACCTGCATTACCGATACGAGCGCGAAGATTCTATAAGGAAAATTGATATTGTTATTTGAATAATTATAGAACTAGATTTTTTATTTATGTCCCCTCTGATTTGGTGTATAACGCTCAAGACTCTGCTGCAGTTAAAGAAGATCCAGTCAATAATTATAATAATAGAATAGTTCCCAGAATTATTTTTAATGAGATACCATCAGGGCGCCGTTAGTATGGCCAAATGAAAGTCACCTGCTCTAAGGTTTTCCAATTTCCAGCGTTAAATTGTTGCCATTGAGGAGCTGCGTTGATTAAATAGAATGTAGAACGCTGGCCAGTAGCGAAGATGAAATCACTTTTTGCCGCAAGGTGACCCTGTGCAAAATACTGATTGTTTGTCATATAACGGTCAGCCATGTATTGTCCAACAATTTTTGCAACGGCCTTTTTTTGTTGTGCTTTTGTATATACGCTGTTGATATTAACACCAGGGAAAAAACCACCACCTAAAAATATCAGATTTCATCAACTTTATTATAAAAAAATATGGTTTTCTATATCCTTAAAGTAAATGTTTATTAATACCTGTAAAATTTGGCCGGGGCACGTTATTTTGAGAAACTGCGTTTGTTGCATCTTGGTTGTACCAAACATATAAAACTTCCAAGCGTTTTTCGTCAAAACAGGAATGATACCATATATGGAATACGTCGTCAACGGTGAAACCGACTCTGAAAGCGGGATGTCAATATTTAAAATAGAAAAAACCTGTATATTAGGCACAATGCATTTTACAAAAATTAACGACAAATTGTTAGAAATGGTTAGAAATCAGTGTTTACGGGTATAACGATATTTTAAATCTAAATTACCAAATATTCACCTGATTACAATATTGTTGTTGAAGCATCTGCGACCTGTCGCTTGAGCCTGGTGCGCAGCATTTGCTGAACATGTAAGACCACCAAAATCACTATTCTTACTAAGCCACCCTGCTCCAGATACTTCATTATTGCTTACGCAAGTTGCAGTCTGAAAGTTCATCCGATTAGTAACTTCTCCATTATGTCCTTTAAAGGTATTAGTCGCATATTAAGCAACTATCAGTTTATTATAGGCCTAATACTTAGGTATATCTAAGGTGGTTAGTTCATTGACCGTAGGATCTTAATTAAAGTCAAGCTTTTCCTCTTCCCTTATTAATACAAATATTTACAGCAGTCTGAACCGGAGACGCTACGTTTGTGTGGCGAATACTGTTTCTATTGCCGGGACAGCTAACGCGTATTTGCTGGTCAACACGGAGGTTGATCTGGCCCGTGTTGCCGCTGGCGCGCAGAAAATTGTTCTCAAGAAGATAGACTGGCTGAGGTTGTCCAAGATCGCCGTTTATCCTGAAGCTACAACCTGCACCACCACGTAGAATAGGTATTAGTTAAAATTGTGGTTTATGCCATTAAAAATTTAGCTCAAAACTTAAACGTATCAGCTGTACCACTACTAAGACGAGCATGTGTCGTTTTATTGATTACTTCCATTGTAGACCACTGTACTGGCACAGCTAACACAGCCAGCACTATACTAGCAAATACGATTAAAAAACGCATGAGGTTAACTGAATAACTCAATGCACGACAGATGTTTCTAATTAATTAATTAACCACCAATACAATTTCTTTTATAAAGTGTGTTATCTTCATCCTGATAAAGCGGTACTCGCCAAACAAATGGTCCAGTACATTTGTACGTAGTAAGTAATAGAGTGATAACGGCAATCTCTTTTGATTTACCATTTTATTTCTTTCATTGTGTTACTAACTATAAGTAGTTTAAAATAAAATTTCCAAATTTTATCATCACCAGCCTGCAAACTTTATTTGTTCACTGCTAGATATAGGCCTCTGCAATGGCATACCACTGAGCTCAGTTTTACTTCTTCACATCTCATAATTAACCGCTTCACGGAATTTTAAAATATTTAATGTAGGTAACCGTTTATCTCTCAATTAGTAAATTATTTAAAAATAGTTCTTATAGATACAGTAGTAGACTTGCATTTGCCATAGTTAAATTACTATTTTCACTGCAAATTTAAAACTTCTCGTTCTGTCATAACTACGCTTTCCCTGGTTAACATGTAATTAATGTGCTGGCATGATGAGCGGTGTGAATATATTTAGTGAAGCTGTGAAACGACGCGCAGATATGCGATACGAGGAAGTGACATCATTGGGAGTCATTGAATGATACTCTGCAAATGTAGGTCTGTCCCAAAGTGTAAATTGGCTCAGCTATTAAGACATGCACATGACGGTTCGCCTGATGGACACCTGGGAATGAAAAAGACGGTGGTGAAGATGAGGGACCGCTTCTACTGAATACGCTGTCGAGGAAACGTTGAGGACTGGTGCAGGAAATGTAATGCATGCGCCTCAGACAAAGAGCCTCGGACGAGATCCCATGGATCTCTAGAACTCTCGAAGAACCCTATTGAGAGGAAACGCTTCTACTGTATTCAATATACTTGTACAATAAAGTTCACTAACCTTTGTCTGGTTGTTTTCCACCTTGACGGGGAGGAAGTATCGTATTATGAAACGGTGTATGCTTGACCTTATTTGTAATACCTATGTTATCTTATTATTATTTTGCCGATAACTGGAAATTTCTCTAAAATTCTGAGAAGTGCGGCCTGCTTTTTGATTCACATTTTTTTTGTCTGTTTCAAGTAAATCTGTCGCAATGTTCCTTCTAAATTGCAGATGATCGTATTCTCGACCATTTTTGTTGTACAACTGCCAAGCGTTGTGAGCAGTCATATCTAAGCAATGGGAAATGAGCGAAAATTACCATTTTTCCCGCGTATAGAAGTTCTATACAATCCTATAATTTGATCGCACTCTGTCTACTCCTCCCATGTTCTCATTGTAGGTCTTTATAAGAGCTGGTATTGTGTTTAACAGTCTATTGTATGTATGTTCCTTTGTGGCACACTTGAGACCAAAGGCTTGGATAGATTTTGACGATTCATACGTCAATCGATTCGTCTTTATCATGGAAGTGCTACTAAAGACATGATTAAATTTAAAATGGGAACAATTGGGAGCCATATTGTGAAAAAAAAATGTGCTAATTATATCGAGTCGGGTATCATTGTCTAGATAATTGAAAATCATATTAAGGTTTCTTACATCATTTTTTATTTTTATGACAGTTTAGTGTCTTCAACGATTTATAGTTGTATATGAACCACTTACTCTATTCATTTCAATCTTACGTGAGTATGGATCTGTGTTACTCTTTCACGCAAAAATAACCAATTGAATTTTAATGACACTTAACAATAATATAGCTCATACTTTCAAATAACATACAGATTATAATTTATGAAGCTATTGAGTGTATTGGCCAGAATATAATAATAAGTGTTACGTAAAACGGAAAAATCTCCCATCTGCGAGCCATTTTGGCCTGCGCTATAAAAACCGCAATAGTTACATGGATATAATGTATAGTGGAAATGTATCTACCTATATAACAGTTCTGCAAAAAAAAATCACGACATTATATGTGATATCTTTAATGTGCAAGCAATTATCGCAAAAATAGTGAATCGAAAATAATATACAATTTGAGATCTTTTTCCAAAATGCACATTTGCTATTATCAAATTAATTTTAATCAAAAATACTTTTATCGCTTCTGATATTTAAAGCCGATAAACTTTGCAAACAAATATTTAAAAGGTTAGGACAGTGACAAAGTGATTGTGCGGAGTAGGTAGGTACTATGCATGAGTAGACTGCGTGAGTGGTTTAATAATATATTTTGATGAATTTTATTTATAAACGTAGATAAGCCCTTGGAAAAGAAAATAGGCAAGGTAGTCGAAGTATCTAATTCTATACGAAGTTGTGGGCAGACTGGCTTCTACTAGTTTAGCTACTACCTTTAATAAAACTGTGAAAAATTTCCTTCTTAGGTATTAATTATGAAAAATATTCTCATAATATCTAAAATAATTATTAAAATTTAATGAAATACTTATAATTATACTAGTTTCAAAGTTTTTTTTAACAATATGATGGATTTTTTCTAGTAAAATTTTCTTTAGTTGTTGCTATAAAGCGTTGCTTAAGAGGGGAGGCGGGCAATCCTCCACGAAAAACAACACCCACAGGAAGCCCACAGCCAAGCATAATTTTTGTATTGAACTTGGCTCTCCTTTTTTACGTTTATATTTTTGGTGGTCGAGTTAACAGTTGAGCCTTCCTTAACAAAATTAATTTGTTTTTGATTTGTGGTTAATAATCCTGTATAAATTTTCCATCCCACTAGCATTTAGAGCTAGTGGGATGGAAAATTAAGGCTGAAATTTTGGACGTAATGGGTTTATTTAAACTATTTTAAAGTACACTTTTATAACACAATAACATTTTTGATAGCAAAAACCATAAATACGTAAGTCAATACTTAAAAAACACTTCAAAAAACTATAAAAACGTGTGAGAAAAATAACCTTAATCGGTGCGACTTTAGACTTAGCAATCACAAGGGAATCTCTAACAGCGTTATCGGGAATGACAGCATGTAAATACAATACTTTTACCAGAACACTGAGCAAACACTCCAACGTGTCGAGGAATATTTAGTTTTCATAACTGAGGTAATTCGGATTGATACTTGTCCCACAAACCGGAAATATGTCGTGGTGGAGTTAAATCCTAATCTATTTTCAAAGGAAAAAGTGAATGATGAAAAAAATGTGCATGACCGATTATTTGAAGTAACGTGAAATACGAAAACATCATCAGATTGGAACCAAGGAAGTTCTAAATTTTTTTGTGTATCATCCTTTTCGAATTGGATACTCTTAGTGAGACGAAATGATTCAGGAACAGAGATTAGAATTTCAGAAGAATTGCTAGCCCACTTTGTTAGCTGGTAGCCCCCGGTTATGAACATACCTATTAACTGATTTGAGGCCTCTACAGCCAGCTGAGAACACTCAAATGAGCTGCAAACGTCATCCATTTAAATGTCTACCTACCTCTTCTACTGCGCACTACCTCTTGCGCCAGAGGATAGTGTGCTCCTTCATCACTCGCTAATTGTACAAACTATTGCACAACACCATTAATGATAAGCCTGAATTGGATCACTACAATCAAAACGGTAAAATATACGTTGATAACACTTATCTTGTTCTCTAATGCTTATTTGTAGTTACATTTATTGAACGTCCGCAAAAATAGCAATTTCGAAAAGACGTAAATTTTAAAGAATAGAGAGAATATCATTTTGTAGATTTGGCCCAGCATGTAAAATATTATTTAGCGAAACATCGTTATCTGTGCTTGCGCTTGCGTCTTACACAGGCAAGACTTTAGAAGTCAGTTTGTTTACTTACACGTTGAATTGGGTTTGCGGAATATAATATGAGTTTGTTGTGATTTCCTTCTTAGCCACTGGTGATAAATAAGACTTATTTAAATAATCATAAAGGTGCTTAAGTGCGGGATGAGCAGCAAATCTGCGTTCCAAATACTAAAACCTACGATGCTCAATATAATACGAATTACCGAAGATAGAAGGGTTATCTTTAAACGGAAGAGCAACTTCATACATATTTGTTTCTTAGGTTTTCACGCACATCACTCATTAAATAAAACTAGTTTTTCACGGGTTAATGCACGAAACTTTATTTATTTATTGACGTTTTGCAGCCTTTACAGGCTGCGTCGTCGGATAGTATAGGGACTCGGGTAAAAGAACATATCGCAGATATGAAACATAGGCGCGAAAATAAGTCCAGTCCGTCCATAAGACGAGAATTTCCAGTTCACATGTTGCAACAGAGCATAACGGAAGCGACGTAGACGCCTCCGATTCCTCCCACACAGGCTACAAACACCAATACTACACAGCTAGCAAACGTGCACACTAGCTTAGCACTAGGCAGACACCGCACCCGTAGGATAAGAGTGCGAAGACCCGTTCTACACACGACACGCTATTATAGTAATATAAGTTATTTACGGGATTGTTACCATGTACCTTGTTTTTAGCGAGTTTCCGATATTTCAGCACTGTTGCAAGCGCCATGATCACGGAGTAACTGCTAAAAACAAGGTACATGGTAACAATCCCGTAAATAACTTATATTACTATAATGTTAGTGACTATGAAAGTTTAAAACAATACGACACGCTATACTAGGTACAGGTACGTACCTGGACATTTTTCCCCGTCCCCCACGACAGCGGCTAACTAGAGCCGAGGTCCGAGTCTCAGTCGAGTGGTCTAGAGGCTCCAGACGGAGAGGAGACTCCTCTCGTGGGGAGACGCCATCCGCCTGGAACATCTCTAGAGGCACTCGCCAATTCTCGGCTTGAGGTCCCCTAAAGATCTCGCCGTCACCAAACCCGGTGACGCCGTAAAGGTCATCTGCGACCAACCGCACACACACTCAAAAAAAGGAAGCGATGTAGAATAAGACGTTTCGAGAACAGGAGCGTCCTCTAAAATAATATAACCGAGAACAGTCTCCAACCAGGCTTACTGAAATTTTTATTAAACAAATAAAAGCAGATCTATACATCGACGTCTTGCCCACGTATCATCACTCAACAAAAGGTTTAATT